GTAAAGGCTGAGGTTGATTGAGATGAATATTATAAAGAATATATCAGGTTATGTGAGAATCGACATTCATACGTCATAGCTAATGATGGTGGTGAGGAGGGGGGGAGCCCAACATTGAGGCACCACATGAAATGGTACAGATAATGGGTATCTCTTTATTTATTAAAGGCATCTTCTAGTCCACCGAATACATACTATCCTAGAGCACCAGTAGAGCGAGCATATGTGAGTTTAAAACTTTATTACATAGGATACATGGTTAAGCTAATTGGCTCATATTATTTATTTTTCAAAGCACTATATTTCATTGACACTACTATTTTTTGTGGCGGGATTATTTTAGAACGAGACATACATCGTCTTCATGTTAAAAATAATATCTTTATTATTTTACTTGTAATTATATCAGTTTTTTTATTTTTTTTTAGCACTTTCGGTGTTCACTGTTAAATGAGTTGTGTATCTTAACTTTTGTTTTGTTTTGAAATGAATTTTTGCTTCTGAAATATTAAATATTTACCTGTCAGAGTTAGTTTTAAACAACTTTACTAAACAGGGGCAGAATAGTCATTTTTCCATAAACAGTTGTCTCATAACTGTTTTCACATAGCTGCGACAAACAGGTAACCAGATTTCCCGCAGCAGTTTCCCTGCAACAGCTTCCTGGGGCAGCGCAACTGCAACTAAAAAGTGCAGCTGCCTCAAACAAACCTTTAATGTTTCTGCATGAATCGATTCTTGGTACCAAGGTGCCATAGGCATGGCAATTTCTGCGTCTCCCGTCCTAAACCTGTTCAGTCCAAGCAAAGGAGGGATCGACTGGTCCTTCCAAGCAGCTATTTGCTACCTATGGTCGGTGTAGTCCACTCCTTAGTTATCCTAGGTCTATATATATTATTCTTGTCATGTTTTAGGAGAGTTTTTCATGATTTTTACGTCGGGGCAACCATTGGCGTCTCAGGTGTTCCCTTCAAGGATTGTCTCTAAGCGTTGAGTTGTCCTCCAACTATATGTTGCTCCCGAGGTAGTGATTATCCTCCGCTACCCTTCTTCCGCATCCTTCCCTTTGCTGTCACCGCTGCCTTCCCTGTTGCTGCCACACGGAACAACCTTTTTTGGTTGTTCTCCCCTGCAGTTTTTCTGCCTTCCACCTTGGTAGCCACTCTGCTCAGGCCGCCTAAAATTTTCCTCCGCCTCCTACCAATCTTCTGCTACCCAGTCGCAGCCACCCTCACAGCCACGCGCTTCAATTGCCCGTCCAAACTTCCACAGCAACCTTCCTACGCCCTACTACCACCCTCTCCCTCCATCCCAATACAACCCTTCTAGCCACCTAACACTCTTTGATGCAACCCTAGTGGGGGTTAGCGTTGTGTCTAGTTTTAATTTCATATTTTGAATTCAACAACAAGATTGTTTTTTATTATTTTTTGTTTAAACTCCGGTATCAGAGCTAGTCTAACCCTAGTCTATCCTAGGGTTGCCAAATCATCCCCATCCCCATAACATTTTTTCCCTCCCTTTTTCACTCAAACCACCCCTACATACCCTTCCACCTCTCCAAACCTAAACCCTAGCCACACCATTGATGAGATAATTGTCGAAAACCTGATCCTGAGGAAATGACACAATGCTGCTTATGAGAAATCTGCAAAGAGATGTTTAGGATTTTTCTAGATAAATCTTTCAATCACAATAAAGGCTTGCCACCTTCGAGAATAAACAGTCTGGAAGGTCCAACCATGGTCACAAAGACGATTCGTCAGATCAAGCGGATGAAGTGAATCCCTTCCAAAGGGCAATTTCCAATGATGAAGAACCAATACCCGAAGATTTGGTATGAAATATCAGAGAAGTTAAAATTTTGGAGTACATGGTGATTTGTCTTATTTTGTCAACTATGTGGATCCAGATGGCTTCATCGAATGGCTTCAGGTAAATGGAATATGTTTTTGGGTACTAGGACGTTCCATTGAACAAAATGGTAAAGCTAGTCAACACTAAGTCAAACAAGAGTGCATTTGTTGTGATTGGAAAACTTAAAGTACATAAGCCAATGACAAGGGAAAAATAAAATAACTAGCTGGTCCACGATGAAACAAAATATGCAGTGCAAATATCTACCAGTTCATTATAGGTAGGACATGCTCTCGAGACAACATAATCGAGTGATCGCCACATCTGATCCGTAGAGCTCAACCCCATGAACAAGCAGCAATAATACACCTAACGGAGCATCCAAGCCGACCTTGCCTGAGAAGAAACTAGTTCAAAATGCATAACAGGTGAGTCAACCAACATTCTGAAATTCGTCTCAAACAGGAAGTGTGTCAAGTGTCATGATTTTGGACACAATGCTTTATTTTGCCCAAACAAGATTTTGATCTTTCCCTAAGCAGGGAGCAGCTGAAGAAATGGACGAAGACACAATAAACACTGACAAATGTGAGAACCCAAAGGAGGAGTAGCAGTTTCCAATTGATGAGGGAGAGATTCATGTTACTCAAGCTAAGCCCATGAGAGACTCCTACATGAGTAACATTAGTTGTCCAAGAGGGTCATGAGTTCAAGAAACTCACAACAGACATCGGACAACCCCGTATAAGAGAATTTTAGAATTTTCAGATATATAGCGTACTTCTTCAGTTGCTCCTGCTGAGGGAGGTCCAACATATTAGAAATGAGAAATTTTTTAGCTAATTCTTATATGTCATATATAGCCTACCTCTTGGGTTTCCCCTACTGAGGAGGTCCAACATATCAGAAATGGTTGTCATTTTATTTGCACATTCTGGAAGACCATGGAGAGTTTGTTCGGTACTTAATTCAATTCAGCAGTGTACCCAATAGATGGTCAAACATGGGGGATGAACCACAACATTAAAAATCAACTTAGTTTTGTGGGAAACAATGCTCTAAAATGGGATCCATGTCTTTCCATAGAAGATGGGGCCCCTCCTGAGTGGTTGCTATTGAGAGTTATCCAACATGTCATAGATTTCATTATAGAGTTAGTTCCTCTAAAAAAAATTGTTTATCAGATGCACACAGTTGAGTGTGAGGTGTAGAAGAGACAAATTATAGACTTAATGGCTTGAGAGTTACTTTGTGAGAATCTACAATTATATGCAGCTCTAGCTCAGGTTGTGTCAAAGGAGAATTGATACTTATTTCATCAGAATGTATTTTAGAATGACAAAGACTACAAGATTGACTTATCTAGAGAATTTAACATTTTTCGCTAACTTCAATGTGCCCGATCTGATTCAATACTATGAGGAGATAAAAGCTTCGACAAATGAGGTTGAAGCTCCCTTGACCCTGGGATATTGAAGTGGGCGTCTTGGCGCCATGGGCGTGGAAATTGTTGTGTCTTCTGTCACGGACTAGTAGGGATCGATAGGTCCTTCCAAGCATAGATTTTCCTCCTATGGGGAGTGGGTCCACTTATTTTTTTACACTAGTTCTATATATGTTGTTTTCATCATGTTTTGGGGGAGTTTTTCATGAGTTATTTGTCGAGACAACCATCAGCGTCTCAGGTGTTCCCTTCAAGTGTTGGTATTCAAGGTTTGAGTGGTGCTTTGGCTGAATCTCGCTCTAGGGCTGATGATTATCCTCTGCTACCCTTCTCTGCATTCTTCCCTTCATCGTCGCCGCTGCCTTCCCTTCTGCTACCACTCGGAACAACCTTCTTTGGTTGTTCTCCTTGCAGTTCTCCTGTCTCCCACTAGCCAGCGACCTTCCATCCTGGTTGCTACCCTGCTCAGCCCTCCGAGAGCTTTCCTTCGCCTCCTGCCAACCTTTGGCTAGCCAACCGCAATCACCTTGCCACCCATCTGCTTCAGTCGCCCGTCCAATCTCCCACAACAACCCACCACGCTTTCCCTCCACACCAAGACAACCCTTCCAGTGACCTAACACAGTTTAATCCAACCTTAGTGAGAGTAGGTGTCATGTTTGTTTCAATCTCAGATTTTTGGTTGTGTTTGGTTATAATTTTTTATTTGAATTCAACATTAAGATTGTTTCCCGTTGTTGTTTGGTTATACTCCGGTATCACCTTTCTTTATCAAACTCATCGAGTTTTACCTAACAATTGGCCCTGATTTTATTTGACAAATCCTGGGTGAACAGCAACTTTATAGACTAGATATATGGCAGAATATATATCATTTTCATCATTAGCTTCAACCATTGGTCTCTACTTTGGGAATCTTCATTTTTCATTCATACCTACTGAGCACTATTTTTTTATCATAAATCTATTTTGTGACAATCATTTTTCTCAACTTCTATCTATATGACTAATAATCTACTAATTTCTTGTTAATACTTATATCTATTGTCTGCTATCCATGGCTAAATCACTCTTGTTTTTCCACTACTTAGCTTCAATTGGTGTGAATTATACAACCCCTTGTCATGTAATTATTCTTGATCAATTCTTCCTAGTTTTGTTGTTCAGCCAGCTTAGTATTCTCTATTTTAATATTCTCATTGCTTCCAATGTGAAATTAGCTTTTAGTGACTTGATTATAGCTGAACGCTCATGCATGTAACATAAAAAGTCTAACTACAAGTTTTAGATATTTTAAGTCTTTAAGGTATTCTCTCATCACATGATACTCTTTAGGCACTATATTTTAGGTCTCTATCCTTAACTCTATATGTGCTATTGCTATTTATATCACCATTCATTTGTATAATAGATCCAAGAATTTAATCTATCTCACATATAGATGATGAGCTATGAATTTTAAGAACAAACCTGAGTGTTCATTTGACCTTTTTCTTGAAGACATTTCAAATTTTGTCCAAGCATAGTTATGCCATTGTGTCATATTTTTGCGCTTGTTAAAATATTTGTTTCGTGGTTGCATTGTTAATCTAATATTATCAGCATTTATATTTTTCTTGAATTATCAAATATTTCCTTTCATTTATTAAAAAATAAAGAATAAACTGATAAGAGTTAGTACTTTGTGATTTCTGCCCAGAAATGTCATGCTTCGTGTAAATGCCAAGCAGGGGGCTCCAAAGGATGGAAGTTCACCGCTTGAACTTTTTCAGGTTAGTTCTGTTAATTTTAGTGTAAAACGCCATAAATGTTTGTGCAATGAAAAAATGGACCGCTCAAAAACTCCCTCTTCTGACTATGCCCATTCCTTTATAAGCACTCTTCTCTACTCTATTGAAGTCCTTTGTTTTTTTCTGTTGGGGTATTCTGCTTACAAGTCACAAAACTGCTAACATTGTCTTCTGATATTTCTATGTTAAGTTTTATCTTTGTTAGTCTATCACCATATACCAGCTTTAGACACTCCTCACGTATTTCATCCATTGATTCCATGATATACGGCACCCTGATGTAACTGAAATCAATTACCATTCTCTCTTTGTAAACTTGCCTATATTTTTGCATATGATTTTATTTTTATCATTTCTTGATATCTGCATTCAGTTTTGCTAATAATCTAGGTTGAAAAAATTTTTAAGGTTTTTTTCCTTTTTATTTCATGGTTGAAATAACACCAACAGACAGCGGTGGTATAGAGCTAAAATGCCAAAAATAAATAATAATTAGAAAACTGCAAATTACAGCACTGCTATAGAACCAATAATATTTTAGTGGTTACATGGTTTCAAATATGTGGGGCCCCAGTTGACAATCGAGAGGCCTAGTGTGACTTTATAAATGGTCAATTAACTTGCCATGGAACCAGCCCATTTTCTTGGGGTGGGCAAAATTTTAAATATCAAATATTAAATTAATTAAATAATAATAATAATAATAGTAATTAAATAAAAATATATATTGTTAGCTTTTCCAAGAAAAAAATAAAAATAACTGGTAAGATAATATTATCAGATTTATGAAATGAAAATATAAATAGATAATAATGTAAAATTTTTAAGAAAATATATATAGATAAGTGGTTAGGTATTTTTTTTGTGAGGATTGGGCAAAATCATAAATTGGGGATGGGAAAACTCTTAAATTTAATATTTTTATAAAGTGATAAAATTTTTAGGGTATCTTTGCCCATCCTCAATATAAGGTGGTCCAACGCATGCCTAACACCTAAGTTTAATATTTACATATATATTTTGGGATCATAATTCTATGCATAAAAAGTTTTTTCCCCTAAAAAAAAAAGTTAATAATTGTGATATTTGTGAAGTGATATCAAAGATCTGAGAGTTATGAAATTGAATATGTAAGTTCAGACGTTAGATAAAAAAATACACAAAAATTGTGTTGTATGTTTGTAAAAGCCTAAAAAATTTAATCCATAATGCCTTTAAAGGTATTTAATGACTATTTTTAGCTATTCATATCGAATAAATTCAAGCTCTTTTTCTTCATAATTTTTTAGCATGCATATTTCAAATGCTAACATTTGTAGATACATAGGAATTGTGTGGAATGTATGCAAATCCTCTTAATTTCTTTTCTCAAAATTATGACTCTCATATTCATGAAATGGTTTGTTTGTTCAAAAACTTTTTTTTTTTTTTTTTTTTTTGTGATATGAATGATATGAGTGGTATAAATGTAAAAAATTAAAGTTTACGTGTTGGATATGTAAATACATAGGAATTGGGTGGAAAGTATGTAAATGTTCCCAAAACAAATGGTGGGGAGAGTCCCGTCATGCCATACCCTGCTAGGCTAGAAGGGCATTTAGTCTCACATGAAAAAGCGAATTTTTTTTTTTTTTTTTTTTTTTTTTTTTGCTGTTGTTTAAATTGAAAGGAGTGCAAAGCCCATGTGACCGTTTCTTGTTTTTCTTGAGCATGCAACTATCATTTAAATCATAGTTTTAAAAGAATAAAAATTTAAACGTCTAAACTTGAATTATTTTGATTTATTGATGTTTAAGAAATTAGCATTATACAGTTTTAATTAGTTTAATTAGCCAATTAATATGCTCATGCCTTGATAAGGCTTAACCGCGAGGCAAAATGATATCTTCAAGGGAGGGCAAACGACCAAATTGCCTCCCCCTTATTATTAAAATTTTGAAAATCATGGTGGACAATATGTGGGGTTCCACCCCTGTATAGACTTGGACATATGCATTTTATAAAATTCTTATTGTGGATTAAGAATCCTCTAATAGCATTATTCATGATTTGAAGGGCATGAAAATGAAAATTATTGTGGTTAACATGGTTTTTCATATATTTGTGCTAATTGTTGAGGAGTCATACTTATGATTGCAAGGTTATTAATCCATTCTTAGCATGTTTTAGGCCATTTTGAAAGAGATTTGATGAAGTAAAGTGTGTATAATTTCTTTCATGCTTGGAGTTGTTGCATGGGACTGTGTGATGTTTCCCCTCTTCTCCGACTCTTTCTTCATGTCCAAATCCCCCAGTATTTCCTCCCTGCTCCAAGAAAAACGGTCTCCTTGCTCAAAGTTTCCAGCATTCAAAAGAGCAAACTGGCCATACCCTTTGTCGTTATTGCGCTTTTGTTCTACTAGTGTCTTTCATGTTGTTAGCTTTCATGATATGGTATTTGAGAAATAACTTGTGATCTTGTGAATTTACAGCAGGGCCATTAAAGATGCATTGCCCCTTCTTTTTGTCAAGTTCTTCTCCACATATCCTTTGTTTTTTTTGGCTGACTGATGCCGCAGCACCATTATCACAATTGTCAACCACCCTAGCTCACCACCTCACCTACCCAACCATTTGCCAAGCCAGCTAGCAGACCTTTCTATTTTGGTTGCCAATTCAAACTGACCTCCTATCCAAATATTTAATTCAAATTAGAACCCTGAACTGTCCTGAACTGTCCAACTAATTTTGATTTTTTATACCAGATAGCCTACCCAATCAAAACACAAATATATTTGAATCTCTATCTTTATACCAAATCCTCCCCCAAACCTAATCCTCTCCTAAATTATATAGCCGAAAAGGAGAGGCATTTGAACCAGTTTGGTCAATGTATTTGAATAAATTTGGTGGTGATTGAATTGAACCAAGAAAACTAAAGTTTGTCGAGCGCCTTTTCTTGAAGATTCGTGTGGGCCCTGAGAATCCGCTCTTGGCTCTTTCCATATTTGAGTGATTCTGGATTATTTTATTGAATGAAGATTAAATATTAAATAAGGCACTACCTATATATTTCACCATCTTTTGAGCACTTTATGATATAATTTGTGTGTTCTCATGGGTACCAACTACTATGGTTAGTTCCCCATACTTATCATTAAAAAAAATTTTGATTAACAATGTCATACTTAGCTAAGGAAAAAAAAAATCATTTTTAGCTTAAAGCAAATGATAGAGAATGATGACTAAGTCAATTAGGATACTATGGCTCCATCATCCTTTATGGATTGTGGTTTGGTTAGAGGCGGTCAATTCGACTTGTTGAAGGACTCTTGTCAACAATCATGAATTTTATAGTTAAAGATGCTGTAAACCTGGTGGGAAGTTTACCAAAGCCGTCAACTTTAAGCCAACCTTAACAACCAAAGCTTTATGCCTGCTATGCCACAACGATTCATAATTGACTATAATTACGGACTTCATGATTAATACAAATATTGGCCAACACAGTTCAATTCTTGTGATATATTTTATTATAAAATTTTAAAATCAGTATAGGGGTTGGTGAATAAACCAAATGAGCTCACGGCATATTAGATACTGTATTTGTTTTTTTTCAAGACTTATTCATTTTCTGTTATTTTATAAGTTATTTATATTGGGAAGCACTCTATGTCAATTTCTCATTTTTACGGGTCTAATACAGGCTTCTTAAGTGAAAATTTAAACAAAATTGTCATGATTATTTGATTTTGAGGTTAAGCCTCGAGGTGGTTAAGGTAGTGCTTTCTATAGAACTGTTCTAAGGTATAATTCAATATTGCAGTCGTTAACAAAACTAGCTTTTCTTATGTTAAAAGACCTTTAAAGTTGGTTTCCAAGCTCTTGGATTACTAATTTGAACTCTTCTATGTAGTGTCATTATTCGTTCCTCCAAGCTTGTAGGAAGATCTTTTTTTTCTTTTTGCAGAAGTGGTGATTCTGTTAATAATGTAACTGCAGGTAGAAATCTATCCCTTGAAGATTCATTTAACGGAAACAATGTACCGAATGATGTGGGGTTACTTCTTCCCGGAAGAAGACCAAGACTCCCAGAGACGACAGGTAGTCAGCATTACGGGTGTAAATGAGCAGACCTAGTGCTTGTTGAAAACTCATAATTTTCTGTTCAAAATCGGTTATAATATTTTTTAAAATACAACATAAAAAATATAATAATTTTTTATATTTAATTATTTAATTAATTCGAGCTAAAATGAGTTGAACACAATCAAACAAAAATTTGTTCGTGTTAGGCTCGTTTGTAAATTGAATTGAAAAAAAAAAACCATGAAACTATGGACGAATCGAATATGAGCTACTAACTTTAAAGGTCGTGCTTGTTGAAGTGTTCGGCCCACTTGCTTAATGGACGAATCGAATATGAGCTACTAAGCGAACCAAACCCGAGTTGTTCATGAACGACGAGCTTTTTTGACAGCCCTAGTCATCATGCTCTTATTGCTGATCCTTTTGGACTTTTTCTTTATTTTCTTTGAACTGTTCAGGAGGTATGGAAAGTTTCGACAACCGCCGGCTCTAGACGTGTAAGGAAAAGTGCTTCGGCCCATGAAACTATTCCATCAAGTAGTTACAGCGCAAGAGAGATTGAAACTACTGGAAGGCCTGTTATGGCTGGTGCCCAGGTTAATCCTAGCGCTTCAGTACATGGCGATTCTTCCCAAGTGAGTTTTCCTCTCATCTATAATCTACGCAGATCCTATGCTTTTCTAATTTTTACTTCCATGAAATTTTAATTAGATTAACCTTATTTGCAGTACCATCTGACTCCCTTGCGTTGATAAACCTGTTTGCAGGTGTCGAAATTGCAAAGTTTGAAAGCCAATATTGTCTGTGGTGCAAATCCTGAATTTCGAAGGACACCTTCATGTGACAGAATAGAAGATACTTTATTTGAGGTTGTCGCTAATGAACCTCTCTTCCCACTACATAGCTCATGCATTTCTTCAAAAAGTGGCCCACTGAATCCTGCGCTAGAATCTCAGCAAGCTGTTACCGACGACACATTTAAGAGTAAATCAAAAGATCCGAAGCCTATAAAGTCTGGCCGTCTGTCGAACGAAGAAAAAAAGGTTGGAAAAGCTCATGACGAGAAAAGAGCGAGGTCGCGAAGAATGATGGAGTTTCATAACATCAAAATTAGTCAGGTTGTGACTTACCTTCGATGTATTACTTCATTATGTAGCTCCCATATATTTATTAATTGTGTCAATTATATACTTGTGAATAGGTTGAGTTACTAGTTGCCTATGAAGGTTCACGATTTGCAGTGAATGACTTGAGGCTGTTGATGGATACATTTCATCGTGATGAGTTTATTGGAACGTGGAGAAGGCTATTTTCACGTGTTAAGAAACATATCATATGGGGTGTTTTAAAATCAGTGACTGGGATGCAGGTAATTATCCTTAAAAGGTGATTGAGTTTTGCAGTCATGCTACTAAAATATTTTTGTTTTTTTGTTGAAGAGAATGATATTTCAACTAAAACTGCTAAAGTTAGTAGGGAAAATGCCATATTTAATAGTGGAGTTAAGAGCCAAAATAGTCCCCTTACTATTTATATGGGGTCATTTTAGCCTCAGAGTCTATAAAAGTGTCCAATTAATCCCCAGACTCTTTTATGTAGGGCTAAAGTAGTCCTTCCACAGGACTATTTGAGCCCAGATTTTAAAATATGGGGACCAAGCTGGCACATTTTGTAAGCTTTGGAACTAAAATGACCTCCTACAAAGAGTCAGGGAACCTTTTTGACATTTTTCTCTTTAATGGTGCTATAACAAATGATAAATCATCTTTGATGCTGCGTATTTCTCAGGGTAAAAAATTCAAGGATAAAGCCCAAACCCAAAGAGAAGGCCATGTTGGTGTCGTCCCGGAGAGTGATCTCAATTTCAGTGACAGTGACGGCGGCCAACCAGGGAAATTAGATCAGTTTCCTGTATCATGGCTCAAAAGGCCGAGCGATGGTGCTGGTGATAGATTTGTCACTTCAATAAGGGGCCTTTTCAACTCCCAACGCCGCAAGGCCAAGGCGTTCGTCCTGCGAACCATGAGAGGGGAAGCGGATAATGAGTTCAATGGTGAATGGAGTGAGAGTGATACTGAGTATCCTTTCGCTCGCCAATTGACCATTACTAAAGCGAAAAAGCTCATTCGGCGGCACACGAGGAAGTTTCGCTCGAGAGCTCAGAAGAATTCAGGTGATCTATTGATACCATTTTTAAGAAACTGATTAGCACAACAATGCTTATGTATTCACATATTTCACTCCTAAACTTTCATATTTATACACATAACAATAAAATATTTAAAATTACATTAAAAAATAGTATTATTATCATTTTTTCATAGTAAAATCCACCATTTCATGCATAGGCTTAAAACACCAAAGTGCCATGCATGTGAATAAGACGGTTTAGTTGTGAGATATGTTGATACATAAGAATTGTGAGCTACGTATGTAAATTTCCCTTAAAAATCAGATTACGCAATTTATATGGTAAGTTTATCTTTCTCAAAATTGTATGATGTGATTAACATGTTAACATGTCCTTCGAATTGTGAGCTACGTATGTAAATTTCCCTTAAAAATCGGATTACGCAATTTATATGGTAAGTTTATCTTTCTTGAGTTGTATGATATGATTAACATGTTAACATGTCCTTCGTTCTTGTAGGCGCGGCTTTACAAATTCGAGAATCACACCCATCGACGCCAAGGGAGACGAGTCCATTTCAGAGCGACTCATCTGGTGCATCATCTTATGAGGACTTCAATGACTAGAAGCTTAAGAAAACAGGTGAATTAATATGTCAAGGAATGGGGATAATCACCATGGAATCTATTGGAAATATAGAGATCGGATTACCGGCGAGCAACCGGTCCTGGCTCATAATGGAAGTTATTGAAATAGAGAGATCTGGGAGTCGTCGGCAAGGCAGAATTTTCTTATTCTCATTCAAAGTTTTGAAAGTCATGGTGCATTCTATAAAAAGAATGTTGGTAGCAGCCACAGCCTCTCATATTCTGCTTGAGTTTCAAGGAGCAGTAAGGATTTGTATCCCTGCGTTCTTCTTCAATCCATTCATATATAATGATCCTTTTATTCTCATCCATTTTGTAACAACGCAGCTGTACAAAAATCAATAAATTCATGTAACTATTGTTTTTTTTTTTGTTCAATTAACAACTATTAACTCTTCTTCTTCTTAATCTTTTATTATTTTTATTTTTTTATTTTTATTTTTTTGAGTCCAGATAAGTTATTTCTAGCAGATTGGAATGTCAGAATTAGGAAACTCTGTACAGACTTTCTGTTGAATTGCAATTTTATTTGAATCCATTATAATTCCAACCAAATCAACCAGATAAAGAAATCATTTTTTGCCTTTCTAATTCATATTTTTTTACAGGGCTGTGCAAAAAGAAATAATAAAAATAATAAAAATAATAAAAATAAAATGCTAAAATCAATCTGAGAAGGATGTGGTTTAATTTGGTTTGCAAAATCATATATAAACTGACTGATTTGGTAGGTCTGCAATTTTGTTTAGGATTTTTTTTTTTGAAGTTTGGAATTTTGATTAAGCAAAAATCAACTGAAGCGAACCTAATTAGTAATTATTAATTTATAATATGCATCATGTATTTGAAACATCTAATTGAAAATAAGAGCTGTCTAAAAGTTTAAGCCTTAAAAATACGAAGTGACGTAAATGAACGGTGAGGATCAATTTAAATTGGACAAAACCGATTGGCTCAACAGCATGATATATATGGAATTTAATTAAATGTTGAACTAATCTAATTACAAATGGTTTGTTTAAAATCAATACGAACTCAAAAAAATAACAATAAAATTAAATTCAAGCAATTGCTATTGATTTCCAAATCGAAGTAGAGAATTAAATGAGGTTCAGTTAGATTCAATTTCATTTCTAAGCCTTCAATTTTGTCTAATTTGTGGTTGGTTCGGTCCAGGTGATGGTCAAGTTTGGGGCGGTTCAATGAAGTGCTAACAGCTTTGTAAAAAATTGATCGTTATGGTAGGGGAAGCTCGTCTTGTAATTTCAAGCAGAAAATTTTTATAAAAGACAGCCAGAAAAATGGACATTTTACGTAGATGCCACGTAATTCTCATGTATTTACATATCTCACACCTAAACATTCATACTTAATGCATGCCACTCAAATTTTTAATACGACATCAAAAATATCAAGATTATTATTTTTTTTAAAGTTACACATTTTCATATATAAGTTTATAAGCATAAATATCAAACTTTGGATATTAGATAATGCCAACACATAAAATTATATATATATATGGTTGAGTTGAAACTTGATTAATTGATCAGGCTCATAATAAGCTAGTGGTGACTCAAGCTTAACTTAACTCGTTTGCACCCTTAAACCCAACTCATGACTAGGGATGTAAATGAGTCGGGCTTGAGTGAGGTCTTAACTTATATTCGGTTTGATTGAAATTAATTATGTTCCAAATTGACTTGTATTCAAATTTGCCCGGTGTGTTCATCTTCGGCTTGATTTACATATTCTTGTTCGTATTCGGCTATGTTCAGCTCAAAATTTACTCTGATTAAATTAATTAGAAATATAGATGTAGGGTATTTGATTCAAACTTCCACCATTCTTATGCAATTAAAAGCGAAATACCACATTACCCCCCATGAGTTATTGTGATTAAACTTAAATATAAATATATATAATAAATTATTATATAAATGATACAAATAATTTCCTTCTTTTGAGCAAAAACAAACCAAATCAGGTTGAACAAACAGTTGTTTCATGTTCGACTCCTTTATAATTTGAGCTTAAAAAATTTGTGTATTTAAAAAAAGTATGATAAATATGTGAAAAAATACACTAAACAATTATGGTTTCAAAACTAAAGATAAAAACAAAAATAAATTACAAAATTCATTAAAAAATGGCCCCTAAATTAATTGGCTCTTAAGCCTAGTATGGAAGAATGTGGGAATTTCATTGAAAAATCTGGGTGTTGTAAGACAATCATTAGGATTATCATTGCTCAATACAAGAGAGCTACAATGTTGATATTGAAACATATCATCAATTTTATATTGAGAAGCTTTTGTATAGGTTGATATTGAAAGATGCAAAATTTGTATGGTAGTTGCAACCACTTGGTCTAATCTAGGAAAGAAGGTCGATCTTCTTACATTATACATGTATCACTGATATGAGATTCTTTCAATGGGGATAAAATAATTGTTCGAGGTTTTGTAGTAATTGACTTGTGGTAATGTGGAGGAGCATCATTTCTTGTTAGTAAAATTGTTATGAGTGGGGTTTTCAAAGAAATTTATTGTTCACGAAAAACTCGTGTTCTACTCGTTAAGTAGTTTGTGTTCGAATCGTTTGCCAAGCGAGCCGAACAATTCTTCTTTTTTAAAATACTAAAAATAACTTCTAATTATTCCGAGTGTTTTTAAAAATAAATTATTTTATTTTGAAAATGTCAAATTTCTTTCATTTTAAATCAAAATACAAGGAAAATCAAATAAAATAAAAAATAAAAAACAAAAAAAGTGCTGTTTACACACATAGCACCCCAAATAAACCTATATTTACAAACCTAGCACTTCTTTCATCTATAGTTTTCAAATTCTCACTCAAATATCAAAATTCATGATAAAACACCAACCCATAATTTTCATTTTTATCAAATTCTCAATGGTTTGATCATGGCTCGTGTAAATAAACCAGTTCGACGGTTCAAAAATATCACATGAATGCTAGATCTGTAAATAGGAATGTTTCGCGCTGTCTTCACTGTACTAGAAATTTTTGTCAAATGTATTTAAAAAACAAAGAAAACTCAACAGAGAAAATCTTATCCCTCACAGTACCCTAAACCCAACAAAAATGTACACCTGTATACACTATTCAATTATACAGATACAGTCCTTGCAAAACTAAAATAGCCAAAAAACCACTCCATGGATATTAGAACTTCAAATAAATCATAGCAGCAATTATGAAATATCTTCTCGTTGACATGACAATTAGGGGCTATATGGTAAGAGCTTTGACAGCTTTAGTAAATCCTGTAAATCTGGATTTACTAAATCCTTTAATAAATTCAGGATTTAAGGCAAAACTCAGAAGAGATTGAGGTGAAACTGAATTTACTAAATTCTGAATTTAAAATCGTCATTTTCTTTATGTTTGACAAGATTTAGGAGGTTTTTAGTAGCACATTTTTAACAGGATTTATGTTAAGATCTAGCATAGATCCTCCCAAACGCAAAAACCAACGAATTAAGGCTCTGTTTGGCGCGGCTGCCAGTCTGCGGCGCGGTGTTGTGCTGTGAAAAAATGTTGTTTGGAGCGGCGGTGCGCATGCGGCGGGCCGCGATATACCCCAAAAGCGGAACGCAATGAACAACCCGTGGCCTCGCTTCCTCTCTCGGTTTTTTACTCGATTACCCTACCCCGATTCTCATTTCTTCTTCACAAACCGCGCGATCTGCTCCCCTCGCCTCCTCTTAACTGAGGGTTTCCTCTTCTCCGACGCATCTCACGCAACCAAGCCGCTTCTTCCTCTCTTCTCAGGAGTTCCTCAGGCGCAGGGCTTCTTCCTTCTATTCTCTTCGCACTAGTAAGTTTTTTTTTTTTTTTCAACAGAGCCGGCTCTTTGACGTTCTTCATGATTGCCCCCTCTATTTATTTTCCTGTTATCCGTATAGTGGTGATGTTAAGAGAGGAATTCTTGGTTGTTTCAATTCTTTCGTTAGCTTGAAATTTTAAAATGAAGGGAGAGCATGTCTTATGAGTTCCAAATCCAAAAAGGAAATGAAAATTTCACTTCTCCAAGCTGATTGCGAAGCTATGATGGCTTGGGGATCTGCTGCTAGCGAGTTTCACTTTTATCGGATTTTCTAAATACTGCTTGAGTTGAAGTAAAAGGGTTTTAGCAACGTTTGAATGCTTGCCTGTAAATGTTTATGTGCAGAATGGTTAAAATTGTTGCACCCGAAACCTACCATTTCCGAACTGCCTTCCATTAAACTCATTAAATTAGGGGATTGTTGGTTAACCTTTGCATCCTGTGTATTGGTGGAAGAGAAAAAGATGCTTCAGCAATGAAAACACCCAAATTTCTTCTATATCTCATTAATTCTTCAGGCCCATTTTAATTTTGAAAAATTTTACTTGATTTTGGAATAATATTATTCGGTGAAGAATCCACTTCGAGAGAGAGAATAATTTTGTTTATTTATTATGTTTTGAAATGAATTTCTGCTTATGGAATATCAAATATATTGATGTCACAGTTCTGTTACAAATAAATTTATTAAACATTAGCAGAATGGTTATTTTTCTAGAAACAGCTGTCCTACAGCTATTTTTATACAGCTGCAACAAATAGACAGTCAGCTTCTCTGCAACAACTTTCCCGCAGCAGTTTATTGAGACAGCGCAGTTGCAGCTGAAAAGCTGCAGCTGCACCAAATAGACCCTAAATCTGAAACTCCACTAAATCCAGTCTCCTCTCCTCTGTATTGTAAATCTTGGTTTTTTAAAATTCGATGGATGTGTATTTAACAAATTTAAGGAGGAAGGCTTATCGATCACCAAACATTACGAAGATAATTAACTGAATTTTAACTTAAATCATACAAAACATCTTTGTAGATTTAGCACGTATGGATTGGATAGATCCAGATTTACAGAAGGTGGGAGCCAAACACCCCTATAAGAAGTTAAATCCTACCTAAATCCGTGACTGATAATGACAACTAAATCATAGCCTCATATATCCAAATGCTTAATGCAGAACTTAGCTTCTTTTTAATTCAAGTAAACCATGCAATAGATTGAATGGAGGATGCCAAAAATTCATTTTGGCAAATGAAAATGAGAAGCAATTCTGTTCATCTCCCCATACCAATCCACATCTTATCCAAGCAGAACAAAACAATCGATGATCAAAAGAGGAAAATGTGCAAATCCCAAACCTACCTCAACTCATTCCATGACAACCTTAGCTCCAGCCAGCTTCATCTTCTCCACAATCTTCTCCGCCTCTTCCTTGAGCACCCCCCTCTTCAGCACCGCAGGCGCCTTCTCAACCAAATCCTTGGCCTCCTTCAACCCCAGATCCGTAAAGCTTCTCACCTCCTTGATAATCTTGATCTTGGAAGCAGCGTCGAAACTCTCCAGCTTCAAATCGAACGCGGTCTTCTCCACCTTCTCCTCCGCAGCTGAAGCAGCTCCTGCGGAGGAAGACCTGGTTCCGGGCAGGCCGCCGACGGCCATTCCCGGCGTCATCACCGCTACGAAGGGCATCTGATCGACGCGCAATCGGGTGCGAAGGGCTTCGGTGAGGTCGGCGAGTTCGAGGAGGGTGAGGCCGGCGAGTTCGTCGGCGATGGCTGAAACGCGATGGGAGGTATGAGGAGGTGGAGGCGGCGAAAAGGAAGCGGATGTGGATTCCGCACGAATAAGATTTGAGCGAGCGAGACGGAGGAGAGAGAAAGGAGATCTCCTCATAATGACGGAGAAATCGGTCGGGAAACCCCAAAAGGAAGCAGAAGTGCGGGAGTGAAAAAAGTCGAGTTTTTTAGGTTTTCCACTTGATGGTGCAAAATCCCCCGCAGGTAATAACCAAATAGAAAATAATGCTTTGCAAGTTCAAAAATACTTATCTTAGCTTTTCATTGTGGATTAAATTAAACAAAGAAATCTCTAAGCAAAGTTCTGACAAATTAGGATTCAATCATGATATTATAATGATAAAAATAAAGGATCAAAAAACTTTTGAAATAAACTGCCACATAAAGAATAAAATATACAAACAAAATTATCTTTTGCAAAAATACCCAGTTATCATCCTATACATTAATATAAAAACATCCTTTGAACAATAATCATCAGAAATTAGTATAATTATATACCAACAGAACTCTACTCATGTAGATTCTATTTCCATCACTTGTTCCTCTCTCTCATTAAAGCCAATCCCATTTTTATCCATTGATTCAAACTTAGGCATAAGCTGAGAGATAACAGTCACTATGGGAACATGGATCGGATGGTCGTCGTGGCCATTAATATTTGTTTTCGAGAGGAGGAAAACCTCTCCTACTTCCGGCCCAACATTGAACAATTCACTCCAAAAGGTATAGTCTTCATTTATGTTTGATTGTCTCATGAGTTCCAAAACCTTGGCTATTGTGGCAACGTTTCGACCCGCTCCACATCTGGTGGCCGTCGCACCCCCGACGGCATTTGCGAGCACCAGAGTGTTGATATGGGGCAGGTCGTGCAGAAATCCATAAGCTATTGCGGCAGTGAAACTATCTCCACAGCCAACGGTATCGACAACATTTACCTAAAATTAAAGCCGTGATTCATGTTCTTAGGTTCAATTCATCATTGGCACCATTTGGAGAACTAGCTTCGTTTGGGCGGATAATGTCTTTCCACTTGTGTTATTAAAAGCTACTTTCTCGGTCATTTTAAATATGTTATTCTTAGGGGTATTTACCTACATCCCACCCAATTCCTATGTATTTAAATGCATAACTAAAGTTTATTTTTTACATTTATACACCCAAATATTTCAAATTACATCAAAAATACTATTATTTTAACTTCTAAAAATTAAAATACACTTTTCATGCATAGGTAAGGTGGTATGTATGGAAAAATTAAAGTTTAGGTGTTAAATATATAACTAAATAAGCATTTACACACCCAATTCTTTCACATCACATAAAAAATCTACTATTTTAATTTTAAGAAAATGAAATGCAGTTTTTTAATACATAGGTAAAGTGGTATGTATGGACAAATTGAAGTTTAGGTGTTAAAATATGTCCGGACGGAAAACTGCCTTTGGTCTCCTAACCTTACTCATGGCAACCTCCCGGCCGCCCAACGACTTATAACGCTAGTCAATACTCCCATTGGGGCTAGGAAGTGAAAAAACTAGGAGAATTTACATACATGCTACAAAATTCTTATGTATTTGCATATCTTACAACCAAAGTTTGATCTTCACATTTATAAAATATTGGTGTCATAAATTTATGCATGAAAAGGCATATTTCACTTTTAAAAAGATAGTGATAGTGGTAATTTATGCATGAAAAGGCATATTTCACTTTTAAAAAGATAGTGATAGTGGTAATTTTAATGTGACGTTAAGGATTTGAGAGGTATGCATGTAATTATGAATGTATAGGTGTTCGATATGTAAATACTTAAGAATACTTAAGAATTGCATGGAATGTATATAAATGCCCCAAAAATTGATGATCCAAATACAAACTGGGGTTGTTTTCCGACCACAAAAGCAATTAAAAAGCTGTCCCAAACGAAGCATTAAATTAGATTGGCACTTTACCATGAATGCAGGTGCACATGAAATGGTCGACTTGGTGATCAGCATCGATCCCTTGGCTCCCATTTTAATAACAACCCACTTAATGCGAACACCTTTATCAATCAGTTCCCTTCCTGCTAGAATCGGATTTTTTATCCCAGTTAATGACTCAGCCTGGTACATAATTGCAGTAGCAGGTTATATGATAATTCAAATAATATATATCAACTCAGATTTTACAAGGAAGAACATGGAGAAATCAAAAAATTAAACAATTCATAAAACAAATGAAAATTTATATCCATTCCACATAATTCTTCTTTATTTACATTTCTGATAGGTAAAAGTTGATATGTATATTTATAACACTTTAGTGTATCACAACAAATATTATGTATGAAAAAGGTATGTATAAGTTTAAAAAAGATATAATAGTGGTATTTCTTATGTATTGTTAAAGATTTGAGTGTAATACATGTAAATATCAAAATTTAGGTGTTGGACGTATAAATACATAATAGTGGGTTATGTGTGTAAATTGTGTTGTGAAAAAACGACGACAATAAAGCGAAAAATGGAACGAGAAAAATTGCACGCAGAAAAACACCAGAGCGAGACAGATTTACGTCGTTCGGCAAATTTGCATACGTCCACGGAGCTGCAAAGGATTTTATTTATTCGAGGAATTACACCGTCGACGTCTCGACGTTTACAAGAAAATTCGACGTTTACAAGAAAATCTCCAAGAAAATCTCTATTTTCATCTCTTCCTCTTTCTCTCTCTCTCTCTCTCTCTCTCTCTCTTCATTTCTTTCTCTCTTAAAGGACTTGACTTCGTTTTTGGCTTGTTTATAACAAGTCATAAGAGGCTATTTATAGAAATCAGGAAAACGGTAAGTGGGAGGTAGGTGGAATGTGGTGGGTGAGCGGTAGGTAGGAAGATAAGTAAGCGATATGTGAGATTCTTAATTAGGAAGCTAATTAAATTGTGGTGGACCGGGTCTCCACATCACCCAACAAATCGCTCAAGAAAGAAAAAAAAAATTGTACAACATGTAGTTATTGACTACAACAGCAACAACAACAATAACAACAAAGTCTTAATCTCACTACGTGGGGTCGATTACATGAATCTTTTTTCTCCATTGCGTCCTATTTAGTACATATTTTCATTTAGTTCTAATAAATTAAGATCATTTTTTATACAACAAGCCTAAGTCTTCCTAGGTCTTCCTCTATCTTTCTTAACATAAGTTGAATCTAAAACATCTAATCTCCGAATCGGATGATCAGATGGTCGACGCTTAATGTGAACATACCATCTAAGACGACTTTTCTCTAATTTTGTCCGTCACATTAGCTACACCAACCATATTACGGATATAAACATTTCGCATTTTGTCTCTAAGTGTAAAGCCACTCATCCACCTAATCATTCTCATCTCGGCATCACTTAGCTTAGTATTATGCTTCTCTTTTAAAGGCCAACATTCAGCGCCATAGAGCATCGCAGGTCTCACCACCGTCTTATAAAATTTCCCTTTCAGTCTAAGCGGTATTTTTCTATCACACAAAAGGCTCGAAGCATTCCTCCACTTCAACCAACCTACTTGAATTCTACTATCAACATCCCCATCTATATCACCATCGCTTTGAACAACAGACCCGAGATATCTAAATCATTCGCACCTATTAATAATTTAATCACCCAAAGTTACACTTATGTCGCTAGAGCTACTACTACTAAAATTACATTCCATGTATTCAGTTTTAGTTCTACTCAAATGAAGACCTTTAGACTCCAATGCAGACCTCCATAATTTAAGTTTTTCCTTGGTTTTTTTTCTCTCCTCTTATCCACGAGAAGGATATCATCAACAAAAAGCATACACCAAGGTACATCCTCCAATAAATGTCCAGCAAGACCTTCCATAACTAAAACAAAATGATATGGGCTTAAAGTCGTTCCCCTGATGTAATCCATCAGAAATAGAAAAATACTTGGTCAATCCTCCTTCAGTTCGACCACGATATAAAAAGAAAATTGTATTGACCGTTCAGGTTTTGAAGTATCAGCATCATCAAGCCATAAACATAACAGCTATTGACTGACAATATAAAAAGAAAATTGTATTAACCGTTCAGGTTTTGGAAGTATCAGCATCAAGCCATAAACATAACATAAGCTGGTACAAAATGCCAATATTTGATTGTAAATAAAGTTTCAGCCTGCAGTAGCATCAGTTGTTAACTTTTCATTACAGCATCAGACCAAAGAAATTCGTAAAACATAAAAAGCATCGGTTCTCGCAGTTTTCCTACCTGGATACAAATTGTATAGGAACCAACAGAACTAACATAATTGACAGAATTATAAATTGTCAATTTCAACGATGTTCAAAGGTGATAAAAAATTTAAGGTTTGTTTGGGGCAGCTGCAGCTTATCCAGATTATCCAGATAAACTGTTTATCCTGATAATCTGTTGATAAGCAGCTGATCCGGATAAGTTGTCTGGCTGTTTGGTTTGTGCGTTTGAAAAACAGCTGATTTTGGACAAATAACCAGTCTGCCACTATTTTGAAAAAGCTGTGTAGCTCCAAGTTTTGTGCGTTTTTGTAAACAGCTGATCTTCCAAATTTAAAATGAGTGTAATGAAAATCAATTAAGAAAATGTAGAGTACACAAGTTGAAAATTTCATAACTTCAATTAAGAAAATGGTGCTCGTGAAAACCAACAGTGGGCGATATGATTTTATAATGTATAATTATTGATACTAGGTAAGAAGCACGTGCAATTTTGTTTAGGTGGTAATACTAGGGTAAGAGGGATGATGAAGAGTTGGTCGCAGTTTAATGAAGAGAATAAGGAGAGGGCAGGAGGGTAAAGAGAGAGGTAACTCAATGTAAACAACTTAAAGAGGGCATAGAAATAAGATACAAGATGCCTTAGGATCGATATTTTTACTGATATAAATTTAAGATAAGATACCCAATAGCACAATACAAATCTAAGGATGCGATGCACAAAACTATGCACACATAAATCAAAATGCAAAATCTATCATAATGGGGGATATGTCCTTCCAGATGTTTAAGAAAATATTTTCCTGCATTCCGTCTTCGTTAGGAAGTAATTCCGGATTTAGTAAACCTGATTGTGAGAAGGATTTAAGAAAATTTTCATGTCGTCGCTCGCGAGTTCATCTCCGACGCACTGACGATCAGATTTACTGGATTTGATAAATCCTATTTAACTTAAATTCAGGCTGCAGCCACATACCACCTTTGGTTATTTCATATTAGGAACTTTCATATATTTCTTTTGGTTGTTTAAACTTCAGTTATATATTTCTTTTGGGCTTTTTGGATTTCAGTTTGTTTCTGATTTTATGAATTGAGAAATATTTTCTCTGAATTTTAGTCTCCGGATTATTGTAACCTCTTCTTTTCGCAAGTGATATGACCGTAACTTGCCTAAGAACATATGATGGATCCCCCTCACCGACCCCGACAAGTCATTTTGCTGTTCATCCACTGATTTTCAGCCGAGCTGCCATCAAAGCCACTACCACCACGTGCTGTTCACATAAGGAAACCACCATTTTATTACTTCCGGTCTGCTGTCCAGCCGCCCGTACCTTGCAAAATCACTTTCAGTTTGCTGTTTTCAGTCCAGATAGCTGCCGCACTCAGTCCATCTGCCGTCTACAGCAGATCTTGCTTCCGACATCCTTCCCAACGCCGCTGACAACCCTATTGTAACTTCCTTGCAACTCCACAAACAACTCTCCACAAAATCAGGGTGCCCTAGAACAGTGTCGCCCCAACTCATAATTAGTAAAAACTTGTCATTTATTGATGCATATCGGAAACATAAAAACCTCTGTTTGCTGCGAAAAAGGTCAAAATCCTATATGATCTTAAATGGACTAGCTTCATATGGTAGAATTAGAAAAGTAAGAGTTGACCCAAGATAGACCTGAATTAACAAGAAAATCACAAATAAAACAATCATAAATGAGCCCATTTATCCACCGGAGGATCAACCGACAGGCTCTAGACTATTTTTGTTGAGCTTATCAATCCTTATCATATCATCCTAATACTTTCTTTAGAACCACATTACACCAGATTTTTCCAACACAAACTATATCAATGACTTCCCGACATACATGCTAAAATGATCCTCTTAATTGGATTGATCAATGAAAACCGCATCTCACTCCTTGATGTGGGAGCTGTTCGCACGAGACGCAATGATGTCGCAATCTCATATATGACGAATGAACAGATGAGCAAGAGTGTGATTCTCGTGATCTGCATTAATATGGACTCACGGGACGGGCGGGATTTCCCTATCCCCAGCAGAAATTGAAATTTGTTGACTATTATTTATTTATTTCCTATTTACTTGTTTCTAATAACGATTTCTTTGTGAGGGAACAACTTAAATCTTATATTTCCTATTTTTTCGGACATCAGATTTGTTTCTTTGGATATATTTTCTACTGGTTTGTCCTGATGGAGTGTTGTATTTATACATTTCTTTCAGGTGATGTGTAGCTTACTAAGATAAAAGTGTTTGATCTCTCCCGAATGTTCGAAGGCCTTCTTCGTCTTCCAATTTGCTGCCTACTCTGTTTGAAAGCAGAAAACAGCCATTTTCTACTTCTGATTCACTGTCATCCCGGAGTTTATGCCCGATTTCAACCGACATCAGTCCCCCTTTCCTTACCTAGCCCTTTCTTGTGTCTTAAATACCTTTTAGAAGTCCTAGAACGAAATCATTTGAATCAAAGCCCAAAAAACCCTGAATTTTTTTGGGATGTCTTTCTTGTCCTAATTTAAAATTCAAAACAAAAATTAAAAAAAAAAAAAAAAGATCTCCACCATACCCAAATCAATCCTACCACAATACCTACGTTAACTCTAAATTTTCAAAATCCAACATTCCTACCTATACCAAAAATCCACCCTAATACCTACCACCAAAAGCCTAAACCTAGGCCAACCTTTGATTTATAACCCCACATTCCTCAAACGTTGATTGGGAGAAAATGACACAATGCCGCCTAGAAAAAATTTGCAAAAAGTTGTCCAAGAGCTTGCTATGGAGGATATATAGCGAGAAATCATTCAAATGCCATGGAATACCATATGAAAACCAAGATC